AGACCACAGGTCAGTCCGTGGCACCCGTCTCTCCCTGGTTTAATAGCTCAATAACTGAGACACATTCATGTTGACATGCCATGAAAACCTCAGAAATTCAATATTCAGATGGATTATAGAGCTTGTCTGTTTTAAGATTTATTTCTTTGATTGTAATGAGCAATAAAACTTCCATGTCCAAATTACAAGTTTCACGAGCTTTTCTTCTGAACATCAGTTTGCCGATGGAATGCGCGAATTGCAGAAGCATTGAGGATGAGCTCATCCATACAGATGTGGACATTTCTATGAACATTAATGTGTGCAATAAATCGCAAACTGCTCCGAAACATCAAGTCTTTAATGTTTTTAATGCCACAGCTGCTGGCGCTAAAACTTCAGTTTGGATATCTTTGAGCTTGCAAATATTTTTTGTATTTTATTGCTCGTGAAGTTATAAAAATATTCTTTTGGCAATTATCAAAATGCCGTCCAGATGTTTCACTATAAAAACAGATGAACAATCAGTCAATTTAGGAACGAAAAAAATGTAAGCTTGTCAAAAAAAAAACACAAATTGACACTTTGCGGGAGCATCAAGTGAGCAAATAACCTATACCGAGAAGTTTGGTCTCTTACGTTAATATTGCTGTGAGTAAAAACAACATGTGCTTAAGTTCAGTCTTCTCCATGAGGAGCCAGAAGCCAGCAGTAGCCTCTTTGATCATCTTCATCATGTGTGGTCACAGTGGTTTCCCTTTGTTCTTCTAAGGTTTCATTAAGAGCTTCTGAGCTCCATGAGGTCCAACCCCAGAGAATGAGTCTGCCCTCCTGCAGAGGCAACACTGAGAATCGGTCAATGAGCAATCAGATACCCCTCTTATCTGTTTGGCCTGGATTGATGTGGATGTTAATCAGTTCCATATCTCAGTTACAGTGTTCCCGTTAATTGCCTCCTCCATATTGTGGTTGTATTCACTTTCACTTATGATCCCTATCTGCAAATGAGGTCAGAAAGGCGCATGGATCTGGTTTCCAGGCTGGCGTTACAGAGTCGTAGGGAGAGAGAGAGAGAGAGAGAGAGAGAGAGAGAGAGAGAGAGAGAGAGAGAGAGAGAGAGAGAGAGAGAGAGAGAGAGAGAGAGAGAGAGAGAGAGAGAGAGAGAGAGAGAGAGAGAGAGAGAGAGAGAGAGAGAGAGAGAGAGAGAGAGAGAGAGAGAGAGAGAGAGAGAGAGAGAGAGAGAGAGAGAGAGAGAGAGAGAGAGAGAGAGAACTAACCGTGTGGCCTGATGTTAGAAGAACAAAGAACTCATCGCTCTCCGTGTTGATGTAAGTGCTCTGCCCTGGTTTGATCTTGTTCAGTCAGAGCTTTATTTAAACAGGTACATTTGAAGTAGAGCTGTATGTTCTTCCTCTCAGTAGCTGGATTATGACTCAGCTTCCCACGAGAATACCTTGATTTGCATATTTATTGTGCCTTTGCATCTTATGCTCATCTCCTTAGACGTGGTCTTAATGGTGGGGAGGTATCTGAATGGCTCCAGGGCAAGGTCGGCCTCTCGTCTGAGCTGGATGCAAATCCAGAATTAGCCCAGACCCAGATTTGGTTAATCAAGTTCCACACCATGAATGAAGACCACTGGTTCTGATTCAGCTGATACTCTACCCTGCTGCTGACACAGCATGACAAAAACGGACAAATTTTTCTGACAAATGAACTATAATGCAAATATGAGTCTCTGGATATGGAGATCCACATAGATCAAAGTTCAGCTATGGCAAACTGGGTCGTCTTTTGTTGGCTTCTACTCCCACCTCCAGCCCTTGAAGACCACACAGGGGTCAACTGTCACTTCTCTGAAGCACCTCGTGCACACACACCCTCGCCTTCCTACTGTCATGAGCCAGGGTGAGTACTCCTCTCAACTTTCCACCTTTGAGTTGTGTTTTGCAGGAGAGGGGGTTTCCCAGTTGCACCTGGTCAGCAATTAGTGGGTCCTTCTACATAAGGTGGATGGAGAACACACTACGACGCCGGATGATTGCTACAGCTTGGTAGTTTCCAGCCCTCATCGTGTTACTTGGTTTTGAGATTCTAGTGTTTTGTGAACTCTTGTGATTTTTGTGATTACCTGCCTTCAGGTTTTTTTCGACGCCTCAGGATACTTCTCTCGTGCTCCATAGGATTCCCGGACTCCTCTCAGACACATTCTCCATTCACCCTGACCGACCCGCTCTCCGGCTCACCTCACGCTCCCTCTCCTGGACACCCCCATATCCACCCCCCCACCACCACCCTCACTCCAGTGCTTCCCCTCAATTCCCAACGCTGCACTCCCGTTCCCAATCCCACTGGACTATCCAGTGTGCCTTCAGTTCCCCCTTTTCAACAAATATATATAATTTTTTCCATCATTCTGTGTTCTGGTTGTGATTCTGCATGTCTTGGGTTAGACGCATTCCCCAAACCATGACACCTACCCTCCTAACCTTTACCTCGAGTGAGCAGAAGGTCTGAGCATTCCTCCGTGAAGACTTTCTCCTTTCAAACTTTGCCTTGATTTTACGCTCTTTATCCCAGCTGTGCCGATCCCATGGGGGGGGGGGGGTATGCTGCCTGGTTTACTGAGCATTGGGGTGGGGGGTGCAGAGGGGGCCTGTATTGTCTTCTTACTTCACAGAATAAAACTGAATCACCATTCTCCTCAGTTTTCTGCAGACGAAATCGAATTAGCTGCTTAAGAGAGAGGAGATTCTTCAAAGTGGAGTCTATTCTCCTGTAATGTTTATTCACAAGTGTCCCATTGTCGAAGCTGAGGTCCTTTCCTCTGATCTCTAACCTTGTCACTCTTAATGATGCCCTTAAGGCAGGGAGGCTGGAGGGCAGCTGGTCGGGTGGAAGGTCTCCAAATGGGACAAAGTCTGGCCCTTCTGAAGACTTTAGGTATTAATAGAAAGAAGAGAAATGAAAACAATGATGTTGCAAGATTTGTTTTTCCTTTATGAAGACTTTTAAAGAAAACACAGTTGAGTGATTGTTGAAAAGTGGAAAATTGAGAATCACAGTGCAAAATGTAACTTTTTTTCATGAAGATGCTATTTTTTATTGACTTGTTTTTGGCAATTAGATCATCAGACAAGTTAAACTCAGAAATAGAAAAAGACTACATTTCTAAGAAGTTTTCTCCCCTGATCAGATGATACAACACTGACACCTAGTGTAAATACATAGAAAATACTCCTTTTTTAAGGGTCCCTGATGAGTGAAATTATCTAAAACAGACTTTAGTGAAGTGAGAGTTTATCTACTGATGCCGATTCGACGCTCCTCTCAAAAGTATCTTAAAACTTTTTGGACAGTTTCTGTCCATAGCTGTGTGTGTGTGTGTGTGTGTGTGTGTGTGTGTGTGTGTGTGTGTGTGTGTGTGTGTGTGTGTGTGTGTGTGTGTGTGTGTGTGTGTGTGTGTGTGTGTGTGTGTGTGTGTGTAATGTTCAAAGCCTGATCAAATTCACTTAGTTGAGATGGTTCCAAGAAGAGGCAGAAGATTTTTTTTTCCAGACTCACTACGAGGCCTTGTACATTCAGAAGGAGCTGCGAACGCAAGCAGCTGTCTACTGTAGGATTTTACCATATCATGTGTTTAGAAAGCACATTTTTAACAATAGCATGAGAGCTAACCACAGTGCTGTACATAAAAAAGCAAACTGCTCAAAAATAACACCCGGTTGTATCATAACACCGAACAACAGAAATACAAAAGATGGATAAAAGAAGCTATCGAGATAAGGAGACGTGGATATGAGACCATGAATAGGGACGATGGGGTTTACTCGTTGGATCGCACATGGGACTGCATCATCGGAGAGGGGAGAGCAAGCAGCAGGGGCGACAATGTCCTCTGCTGCCCTTAAGTGACGCCACCATCGGCGTCAGCCTGATGATGTTTGCAGCCGCAAACGAAACATTGCAGGTTAATAAACCTTTTCTGTGTTTTAAAAAGAACTGAACGATGATTTTCAGAAAGCTGGAAAAAGGGACATGAGCATCTTATTTCCATCATCATTAATGGGTCCTTATAGAAGAGTTTCTCTGTGGCTGCTCCCACCTTATGGAACTCTCTCCCACCATGGACGTAATTTTCACTTTAGAAGTGGGGGGGACACAGGGGTGGGAGGGTGTATCTTTATAGTATGTTCTAATGAGAAACAGGCTTCAACACAAACAGTTGTTTTCTGCTTGGTCCTAGAGCTCAACCAGTGTCAATTTAATATAGCGTAATATTGTTTTTGGATGGTGAAAAGTGCAGGGGTCAAAGCTTGACTTTGGAAAAAGTGGGGGGGACATGTCCCCCCTGTTCCCCCCAATACCCCCCCCCCCCCCCCCCCCCCCCCCCCCCCAAATTACGTCCATGTCTCCCACAACATATTCGTACTGCTGATTCAATTCATGAATTCCAAAAACTCCTGAAAACGTACCTGGTTAATCAAATATTTAAAGCCTGTTAATTTATTTTACTGTCTCCTTCTCTCTGGTTGTAAAGTGTCTTTGAGTAATGGTAAAAGTGCTATATAAAACCTATACATTATTATTATTATTATTACATTTAATATTGCAGAGTGGGGAAAACAGGATGGAACCTAGTTCAGATGTAGATGTTGAATCTTTAACGAATACTATGGCGGCACGAAATATAAACGTTCGAATCAAAAAGGTTCAATCAAGAACGAAAAGCGTGCGCCGCCCGGGAATCGAACCCGGGTCGCAAGAATGGGAATCTTGCATGATACCACTACACCAGCGGCGCTGAGGTATCCGAACGCAATAAATTCTTTATAATGCTATGTATCAAACGGGAAGTTTATTAATTTATTTGTATTGTGTTTGAGAGCTTAGATGTTATACATAAAACCTATTTGTCGGAGGCAAACATTTACTGATACAGTAACCGAAAATCAATTAAATGCGCAATCTCAGTGTTACCACTTTTATTTTGAAATAAACAGCTTCATCCCGGAAAAGCTCTGCATTTACTTCCGGGTTAGAAACTTCAAGATGTACCCTTACTTATGCTAACGACTGAAAACATTTTTAAAGAACTGCATAAGGAAAGTCTAAAGGAAAGTTACACATAAATATATAAAGGTTTGTCAATATTTCATGCAGGCTTTTGACTAGAGACAAAGTCCTTGTTTTTCCATAAGACGCTATCTTCTTGAAAAATGAAGCTAGCTACTATGTTCCTGGATGACTACACGTCTGGTCTAACCATATGTTAATATTTTTTTCTTTGAGATAGCTCATAGATGGTTTCATTCGTGAGACATAATGTTGTAAAATCGTTAAATGTAGACGCTGCTTTAGACGTTGTTTCCCTCCGAATCCCTCAGAGGCTCGACTCATGTCGGACAGGGACATCACCGTGGTTGTGATTGAGGAGCCCGTTCTCCCAGCAGGTAGGATAACCTGGACTAGCCAGACAAATCAAATAATCTGCAGCCTTTAAAGGTGTGTGTTCTGTTGTAGGTGTGATGGTTCCTGACTTGGAGCCAGCTGAAACATCCATCCAGAGGCTGCTGAACACTGTGGGCCAGGATGAAACCTCAGCAGGTCATAATGGTTTCGGTAAGTAAAATCACAAAGAGCTCTTCCACAACTTACTCCATAATATGGAGTAAGTTGTGGAAGAATGGAGTCCATGTCAAGATTATTCTTAATTAAACAACCTTTCTAAAGCTTCTATGGTTGTGCAACAACATTTGATTCCCCTAATTTTTTCACAGACTTTAGGTTTTGCACACTTCAGTTACATTTTTCACATGCTTCACTCATGCTACTGCATTTGCATAATGGGTCTTAAAATGCATCGGTCTTAAGATGATTTCTAGAAATAAAACAATAGAAAAATCCTTCAATTGATTAAAACCGTTCTTTCTCTACGGGATAAGCCGTGTTGAGAGTAAAATGTTACTTTTCAAGACTATCTCGGCAAAGACAAGCAGCAAAACAAGAAGTTTCCAGGTACGTTCTACAGACACACATGCAATGAGATAAAATAAATACAGCAATATAAGTAAGGAGACTAAATTTTTAAATCAATCAAATAAACAAAAGGCGATCACAAATTGTTTAACATCCCACCTCGAATCACAAAAAAATAAGTTTTAATTGCCTTTTATAAAATGTCGTCTACAAAAACATCAACTGTTTAGAAGACTACGTCCAGCATTCTCTTGTCATAGTGACCAGTGAGCCCGTCTTTAGCTATATGAGCAGCAATCCCTAATTCGGTTCTTCTTTTTGGATCAGTGAGTAAATGAAGATGATGTAATGAGAGAGATTATAATTTCCAAAATGCTAATGCTTACTGTAGATCTGGAGAAATGAAGAGAGGAGTGATCTTGTCTATAAAGATCTGTGTTTCAGTCTTTGCAGAGACAAGGAACACCAGCCAACTTGCTCCTACCACACGGTGTTGCATGAGAGCTTTTGTATTTTTTTTTTAATCTCAAAGCCTCACGGTGGTTCTCAATTGAACATTTTAACTACAATTTAGGTAAAACTGTAGCCAAAAATGGTTTCAAGGAGTATAATACCATTTGCAGCTGTTTGAGTGTTAATTATACACTATTTAATTTTCTATAGTTCAACATGTAATATTTTGTAATTTTATGAGTCGGCAGCCAGAATGTTCAGTGTAAAGTTTATACATAATAATATTTTGATGTCGTTGCCACTTCCCAAATCACGATAGTTTTGGATTTTTCACGATAAAACCATCAAGCAAATTATCTTTGTTTAATTTAGATCCCCTGTTTTTCTTACTTTTACTTTTATTTACTTTTCTGAAGCCTCTGAACGGTGCAGAACAGCTCAGCATTTTGTCCAGTAATTGACAATATCTGATGTTTTCTTTCCTTTTTACATTTCCAGGTTGTGAGGAGTGTCTGATGCTCTTTCAGGACCAAAGCCATCCCTATGACGTCAACTGTCCATCTTTTGTCCTTGATTTTCAAACAAGCTTGGGCGTCCCTCAGCGAGCTCTCCTCACGTTACCCTTTGGTCTGATGATCGGCAGGTCTAGCATTCCTGGTGCAGGAGTTGGAGTCATAAACCAAGGACAAACAGTGTCTCCGGGAATGCACTTTGGCCCCTATGAGGGGGAAATAACGACAAGGGAAAATGCCATGACTAGTGACTTTTCCTGGGAGGTGAGAAAAGATATATGAACTGGAAATCATCAGACGTCTCTACAGGAAGTTTGACGTCCGTGTGCTTTTATATTTGTGTCTTTCTACAGATTCATAAAGGAGAAGACCAGTATGAGTATATTGATGCAGCCAAGGACTCATTCTCCAACTGGATGAGGTATTGAGACGGAAGCAACCACTTGTGTTTGTTTAGTGGTTCGTGTTGAAAAATAAGACAGTTAGTCAAAACCAAACAAGTCACACACTAAAAGGAGCAGTCTCATGTTTGTTCTGTAGAAATGTTTTCTCTTGTATGCAGCTTTTAGATCCCTAGATTGATGAATTTTAATCTACATTTTACATTTAATATTATAAGTAAGTAAGTAAAAGTTTATTTATATAGCGCCTTTCACAGATATAAATCACAAAGCGCTGTACAACATGATAATGATCAGGGCAAATACCTCTAACCAATAAAAACATCAGAAAAACAATAGCAGTGATAAAATAGTAAATAAAATCATGAGTATAAACAAAGTGAAGGTGTGAACCCGAACAAGGCCATCTTTTTGAACATTTAGGGAGGGAATGCCTGGAGGAAAAGGTGAGTTTTTAGATGATTTTTAAAGACCTCTACAGTGTTAGAGAGACAGAGATTAGAAGGTAGACTGTTCCAAAGTCTGGGTGCAATAGTCTAAAAAGGCCCTGTCCCCTTTGGTTTTCAGTCTGGTTCGAGGAACAGCCAGGAGGTTTTCAGATGTGGATCTAAGGTTCTGAGAGGTGGTGTGTGGGGATAAAAGCTCAGATAGGTAGCTTGGAGCCTGGTTGTTAAGAGCTCTATAGGTCAGGACTAAAACTTTAAACTGTATTCTATATTCTACCGGGAGCCAGTGGAGGGACTGTAAAACTGGAGTGATGTGAGCTCGTCTGCTGGATTTGGTTAGGAGTCTGGCTGCTGCATTTTGGGTGGCTTGAAGGCGTGAGAGGGAGGTTTTGCTGAGACCAATAAAAAGAGTGTTACAGTAGTCTAAGCGTGATGACACAAAGGCATGGATGATTTTTCCAGATCAGCAGTAGAAACCAGTTTACGGACTTCTGAAATGTTTGTCAGTTGAAAGAAACAAGAGCGGGAGATGGTTTTGACGTGTGAGTCTAAACTTAAAACCGGATCAAAAATAACTCCTAGGTTTATAATGTTAGCCTTGGCTGATGGGCAAAAAGAGGCAATTTCCTGCTTGATTTTTTTAGAAGTATTAGACAGAATCATTTTGAAACAAATGTAAAAGTTATACATTACAAAACTAAAGTGCTGATCTCTCAACCGTTCAGTTTTACTCTAGGTGTAGCCAATCACGTTTCAATGAAATAAACCTCTACCTCATCGTCGAGGCATGAACTGACTAGCATAGTGTTGACGTTTAAATGGGAGGGATTAGGCAAAACTCACTTTTTGCATCCTTCTGTGCTGCAGTGTGGGTCACTACTACTTCTACAAACTCTCCAAATGTGTAAAAAACAACATCCATCTGTTTTCCGTCAGTGTTTGTTTTTAGGCTTGACACGCCTAAAATGAGCTGTTTCAAAAAGTTAGCGAGTTATTTGTGGAGATAAAACATTAAACATTGCAGAGCAGAGTCAGCAGTAGAGTCACGCTGCTCTTATCCAATGTATCAGGAAATAAGACTCCAGCTCCTGCCATCTGCTGCCACTTTCTCCTCCAGCGGATTTCTACGTCCTCAAACAAGCACAGCAGTTTTTTTCCCAGAGAACGACTCACAAGCCATTCATTCCTACTACGATAATTTATTCATCAGCGTCGATAATATTTCATCATTTTGATTTGAAATATATTCTCCCTAAATTAATTCACCATACCAATTTATTTGAAAAGCACAGTTTAAAACTAGCATGGCAGCTTGCCAAAGACTCAGAAGTTATTTTGAACGTTCTTTTTACTTGTTCTTTACTCTGGGTTTGCTCAGATATGTCAACTTTGCTCGAAGCAAAGACGAGGCCAACCTGTTGGCCGTCCAGTACAAAGGCAGCATCCTCTTCCACTGCTGTCGCTCCGTACAGACGGGAGATGAGCTCACCGTGTGGCCGAGCAGCAAAATGCACGCCCATCTCAGCAAAGCCTGGACTCAGATGTTGTTTCTGAAGCTGAATAGAACAGGTGCTGTTCGATTTCCAAATCTCAAGCAAATGTGTTATCAATAAGTGAATTAATCAGTTGAGTTTGCTTTTAATTTTCTTTGTTTCTTTTATCGCGTAGAGAGTGGTCCGTCTGCGTCCAACCCAATATTCCTGTGCACCAACTGCCTGCTTTCATTCACCACAGAAGCTTTCCTCCTCCGACATTTACAAGACTTTCACACGCACTCCGCAGCCGTCGAAGAGGTCGATAAAAATCCTCCTGGTGCGGAGTCGGATCACTCTCCAACATCTGTGGCGTTATTACCTGTTGATTCTGTTCAGTCCAAAACGTGTGACGACTGCGGGAAGGTTTTCAAGCAAATCCCTCATCTGAGGCGGCACAAGCTGTGTGTCCACTCAAACAAACGTCCTTACTGCTGCCCGCACTGCAGGCGCAGCTTCAGCCAGGCTTCTGGCTTAATCAGACACCAGCATGTTCACAGAAAGCCGACTGTCACAGAAGCCTCAAATCAGAGCCAAATCCTCTCTGAGACCGAGAGCTTAACATCAAGAGCAGAACTTCTTAATGCTGGTGAAGCGGCAGAGTCCGAGGACGGAAAAGAGATGAATGGGAGCCAGAATCCCCTTGAAGCGGAGGACGTTACTGATGCTGCAAATACTTCTGCTGATGAGGCAGGCGCACGTCATTTGGATTGTTCGTTTTGTGAGAAGAGCTTCACAAATGAAGCATCTTTCAAAAAGCACAAGGCTTCAGTTCACGAGAATCTACGTCCGTATGTTTGTTCTGTGTGCCGGAAACGTTTTGGACAGTACCACAGCCTGAGCAGGCACCTGCAAAGCCACCACAAAGGAGATGAGAGTAGAGAGACAGTAAGTGAGGATTTGGAGGGTGTGGCCGTGTTGCCTTTTAGCTGCGCGGAGTGTTCGACGTCTTTCTCTTCGGTGGACGCTCTGCAGCAGCACATAAGCCAGCTGCACTCAGTGGACGTCTCCGCAGAAACCCGCGAAGAAAGTTCAGTTCCTGCCATAAAAACCACCGACTCCATCCAAAACCTTCCGTCTCGCAGGCCACAGCGTCCCAGAGCTAGCTCCAAGGTTTCTGCCATCACCAAGCTTGTAGCACCAAAACGCAAAGCAGGCAGGCCCGCGTGGACCAACCGGAGCTCCACTGAGCCGGAGGCTCCCGCTGGCAGAAGTACGATGTTAGTGAAATTCAACTGGTTCAGCTGCAACCTTTGTAAACAAACGTATGGAAACCCAGAGGATCTAAAGTCACACAAGTGCACTTTGATGCCGTTTAAGTGCAGAGAGTGTGGAGCAGCTTTTAAAAAGTCGGCAGTGCTCAAAAGGCACAAGCAGACGGAGCACGGAAAGTCAAAGTCCAACATTTGTGACCGCTGTGGTAAAAGCTTCTCCATGGCTGCTAAGCTCAAACAGCATCAGAAGAGCAGCTCTTGTCTGAAGTATCACCACACGTCTGAGCTTTTCCTGTGCTCCTTCTGCCAGTTCTCCTTCACTGTGAAGAGTTATCTTCACAAACACATCAAGAGGCACCACCCGGATGAGTTTTTGTCACTTGGCGATTCAAACGTTCCGATGAACCAGCTGGAGGAGGAGGGGAAATGCACATGTCCACACTGTGGGACTGACTGCGCAAGCTCCAAAGAGTTCAAGTCTCACACATGCACGAGGGAGCTGAATGTTCTGTATTTATGCACTGACTGTGGGAAGGACTTCTCTAACCAGTACAGTCTGAAGCAGCATGAGCGCATTCACACGGGGCAGAAACCGTACACCTGCACCCACTGCGGGAAAAGCTTCTCATATGGCGGCCAGCTCACTGTGCACCTCAGAACACACACCGGGGAGAAGCCCTACCTGTGCACCCACTGTGGCGAGAGATTCCGGCAGTCGGGAGATCTGGTGAGACACGAGAGGAAGCATACGGGCGTGAGGCCATACAGCTGCTCCGAGTGCAGCAAGAGCTTCAGCCGCCTGCAGAGCCTCAAAGCCCACAAGCTGCTCCACCAGGGACAGAGGATGTTCAAGTGCACCCAGTGTGGGAAGAGCTTTTCTAGGAACTATCATCTCAGGAGACACCACCAGAAAGTGCACATGTAGATAGATCTTTGTGAGCGTTGTTTAGCAGCTCAGGTTGACGCAAACGTAAACAAATAGATTGCGTAATAACTGCTCTTTAAGTGTTTGCAGGAATCTGCAAATTTCTTCCGTTAATTTAATTTTTGCCTTCAGGAAATAAAACTTAAATATAACCTTTAAATGGTAAATGGCCTGTATTTGATATAGCGCCTTCTAGAGTCCTGGAACCCAAACCCGAAGGCTTTGAACAATCAGTCATTCACCCATTCACACACACTGGTGGGGATGAGCTACAATGTAGCCACAGCTGCCCTGAGGTGCACTGACAGAGGCGAGGCTGCCGAGCACAGGTGCCACCGGTCCTCCGACCACCACCAGCAGGCAACGTGGGTTAAGTGTCTTGCCCAAGGACACAACGACAGCGACAGACTGAGCGGGGCTCGAACCTGCAACCTTCCGATTACGGGGCGAGCACTTAACTCCTGTGCCACCGCCGCCCCGGTGTCATAAATGTTATTTTGGTCCTTTTAAGACTTTTTTTTTAAGCCACATCTGTTTGAGGTTTTTGCACCAGGTCCCACATTCGGCTCATTTTCTGCCCATCTTGATGCTTTGAAATAAAAACCATGTTCACCGTCACTGTTGACCATTTATTCCACAAAAACATACAATGCAAAGCGTGTGCACTGTACAAGCCTTAATACTTATGAAAATAGTCATAACCATGCCTGTTTTTTTAAATTATGTACTCCTACACTCAGTTTTTCACCCAGATCTACAACGTTTATTTAAACATGACACAGCACTGTCTTCTCTATTTAATCCCCTTGTACATTGCTCTTGTCAGTAGTTTTTCCTCATTAGCTCACATTTCCACCTTGACTATATTATAAATATGTAAATTGAAAATATTTAGGTCTGACCTGAACTATACAAACATACTGGTATGACAGGTGATACAAGTAGACTCGTTTAAAAGTGTGCAGAAACTGAAACGGGTAGGAACCTGGCAGTGTTTTTCCATACGCTACACACACACAGGTGTCACGAGCAGCTGCTGGTTTGTGACTAAAACGATGCTGCTGGTAACGGCTTCTAAAAACATCACAGTCCTGTATTTGTTTCGTCGATCTGTAGTCCTAGGTATTTCCAGCTACACAAGTTCTTAACGACATCCATTTGAGAGGAAATGCAGAGATCCGTTCGCTCTTGTGGCACAGAAGTTGAGGATTGTTTCAGATCTTTATGAAAGGGTGAAACCAGAGGAATGGTCACTTGAGTTTTTAGTGTGTCAAAAAAAATGCACAAACACTTCTGAAAGGTAGGCAGCAAGTGGTTCTCAAGGTTAAGTGACAAAACCCCTACAGAGGTTGGGTTAATGTTTCTACAATTCTGAAGACACGTCACACTTGCTCCCATTTTGTCCTCTGTCCACACGAACCGCCATGTTTGTCTTCTTCAGTGCAATCTACGGTCCTCTCGACACGCCCCCCGTCACATAGAATATACAACCATCAGTTTTGTTTACATTATGTTAAATGTTATACACAAAAACTTTTATACAGACCAAACTGATTGTTAAAGCACACGTTATCACATCTGTACAAAAACTAAGAATGAAATCACAAAACTGGGCAAAAGAAACAAAGGGGTTTAGTTTTTGGCAATAGAAAACAGCTCGGCCCGTCACAAAACAACAAATGAAGAGAAGAAAATATACGGAACTCTGGGTATTAAAAAGGAATAATGCATCTAGATTAGAGTCTGTCTTTGTGATGAGAAAACTCCATCCTCCACATTCCAGCTGGTGTTAACAGAAAAACGGGTAAAGGTGGCTGGAACACAAGGCCCGAGAACACGGTTGATGACCACGCTCAAAGTGGAAACGACTATCCTGCAGTTCAGTCTGAACTGATGAACACTGCTAGCCTAGTGAACTAGACCAAATTCTTGCTTTGCAAAGTTTGGTCTAGGCACGCCCCGTTGGAACCTCCGCAGCTCCTACCAGGACTCTGGCTAGCCAATCACAGCTCTCTAAAGGGGTTTCAAACACATAAAGAGCTGTGATTGGTCCATAAAGGTGGGCCAATCATAGTGCTCCATCTGCTTAGTGAACAAATCACAGAGCTTTATCCGCTTTGTGGGCCAATCAGGGCACTCTATATGCCTGGTGGGTGGGATGATGCAACAGAGTGAAACAAGAGTATGTCACATTCATTGTCCAGCGGAATGCGGAGATCATTTGAAAGACAACGGTAGAACCCGCCCCACAACCGAGAGCCGTCAATGGAGCGTGGCCAGACTAAATAATACATTTATTTAGTCTGGCTTGCCAGGCTAGAACACTGCTTCATCAGGAGAAGTTTACATGTGATGGAAAAGGCGTTTATAAAGGTTCAGATTTCAGCTCCTCCACCCTGCTCTCCAGGTTGGCCACCTGCAAGAGAGGGAGTAACGTTAAAGCAGCATTCAGTTTTACCCATCATCACAGATACACAAACAAAAACAAGATGGAAAACATCGGTTGTTAATGTCGGCCCAGTTTTACTCATCGTACCTATACCGTCATGTTAAAAAAATACCGACATCGATGCCGACATATGGTGCCTCGCTAATGTAGACAACGCATACATTTTCTTACGCCGTCCCGTAGAGCCCCGGATGCAGTAACCAATAGTGCTGAGCGTCTTTCACGCCAAATGTTGAACGGACGCGGTGAAGTTTCCGTATGGTTTCTGCATAGCTCCAATCAGAGCATTCACAGCAGCTGTGGTGCAGATCCGGATGTGGCACACCAGAAGGTTTCCGCACGGAGTCAAACTTTTTCCGGACGCTGCGTGCAGGTTGTCATAAAGTTAAAGAAATTCTGTGAGCCAGACAGGAAGTGAGACGTGTTTCACCAAGTACACGTAAACCCACGTCGCTTTACTTTTGCCGACTTTAGTTTCATTATTAATGACGGTGATATCAGTTCACAGTGTATGATGGTTCAAGTTATTTTTACAGGTATGTCTTAAAATGTTTTGTCAAATTTATAATCATTTTGTGCTCCTGTGGGAGCAGATATCCAGAGAGCAAGCATCTTTCTTTAGAAGAAAGGCTTTTGCACTTCTTCTAGTGGTTTTAAAAACATTTGGAGCCGAGGAAAGAGCCAACGCGAGCTCCGACTCAGACGGTTAGAATTCTCAGGGGGTGGGGTTATTTGAATGGGAGCGTTACCATGCCCTTTGCCCTTTCCCCATAAGGAAGCATGGGCATGGCTGGCCAGGCTAAGGGAGAGGGGCTTAAGGTGCAATACATATTTTCTGCCTCTAGATGGCGACCTCTGAGAAAAAATCCCAGATTTCTACTTTAAGACATGAAGCACGGGGTCATGCTGTGTTTTCCTAAAAATAAAGCATATGCAGGTAGCTTCATTAAAACTGAAGATGGTTTAATTCAGAACACACAATGAAATGAAATACTGGTAAAAATGTCAGATTATCGTGATCTACTTATATTTTTACATTCACAGACCCAAAAATAAAAAAATACATTTCCGAGTTTAAGATTTTTAAAATGATCTGTAAAGTTCTAAGAATGCAAACAAAAAATACCTTTTTTTGGTCAAAATCTGACAGCATACAAAAGTTTTTATGCATGTTATGTGACAACTTTTAAAAATGTTGAGCTACCTCCTCTACCTGCTCTTGGAGTTGACCCGACTCCTCTTTCAGAAGAGAAGCCTCAGCTCCTACTTGTGCACAACGCTGAGTCTCCTTCTTCAGGTATTCAATCTCCCTGTAACAACAAGCAGATCATCCAGAGCATCAACCACAAACATGCCAGAGTAACTGGGCCTGTGTTCACGCGGCCTTACTTCTGCTGGTACTCCTTAATGAGCCGTTTGGCTTTGCTGTATTTGCGCTCCAGGGCCTGATACTGAGCCTGAGTCTCCTTCAGGTGCTCGTCCACCGCCTGGCACAGGCTCTGAGCCTCCAGCCAGTAGCCCTCCAGCTTCTCCATTCGCTCCTTGTTCTCCTGCAGGGTTTGCTCCAGCTGGGCTTTGTCCATCCTCCAGCGCTGCTTCTCCTGCTCCGTGTGGTGCAACTGTAGAGTTTGAGACTCATAAACTGCTCTTGTTTCTTCTTATTTTGAAAAAATAAAAATAAAAAATTCTGTCTCACCTTCCTTTTCAGTTGCTGGATCTCAGCCTGGGTCACAGCATGCTTTATCTGGAGCTTTAAGGTAGAAAGGAGCCTTTTTTAAAACCTGCAGGTACGTCAGTGACAAACTGTGATTATAGACAAGGTGCTCCACTTTAAGGCCCTCGTGTCTCACCTCTTTGTATTTATGGGCAAGTTTCTCAGGGTCTGTCTCCAGAGGGGACATGTCCTCGTTCTCCGCCAAGTCAAACACCTCGATGGCACTGGGATATGGCGGACTGGCCTCCTCTTCATCTTCTTCCTCATCCGTGCCATACTCACCACCCTGGATTAGGAACAGAATCACATTAACAATTAAGGAGGTGATTGATTAGATTAAAACTGCAGACAACAGATCATCCGATGTGGGTTTTACTAGTCAGTACCAATACCGATACATAGAGGTCTTGCTTATTCGCTGCTGGTTTTCTGAACCGATTTTATCGGCTTATCTCTAGACATTTTGTTCATAAAACAAATGAACTTATCTGTTTACTGTTAGACTAAAAATCCACAGAAGAGAAAACGATGATTGTTTTTCTTCTATGCAACTACACTAAATGTCCACTAGATGGTGCAAAACTCAAACAACCACTTCTTATTTTTTCTTTGCATTCCAACAATGTACATCTTTTCAAGAACCGCCCACTCTAACAGTGCGAGAGTAGGGACGTTTTCCACTCCGGTATCAGGAGAAAACCTCAGTAGGATTTTGAGTAGAGAAAAAAACATCTGACAGAGCAAAGAAGGCGAGAGCACAAAATCTGAGTCATCCAGATCTGGCCCCATTTCTGAGCTCAGCTTACAGTCTGATGATGCAGACAGTGCATGCTGGACACTTTTATTGTCTGCTACTGTAGTGAGATAAAAGTCTTAATCCTAACAGGAAGTAGGAGACAATGAGAAAGTCAAATAAAAGCCCTATTTTCTTTTTTAAAGGTAGTATTTTGTTTTCTAAACCAGTTGTAAAGGCTAAAATTAAATTTAAAGCTACTTTTGTTTTATTTATATCTCAGTTTTGTGTAAGAATGTGTTTATGCTGCAACAACTAAATCTAAAGGATTTTATATAAATCAGGAAGTCTGACGGGTAAAAGAGGAACGTGTGTTAACGAGCATCACACTCTCACTTTCTGCTCTTCACCTTCAGCTTTGTCACTGTTTCCAGCTGCGCAATCTCTAATTCTCAGATCAGTTTCCGAACAGGAGTGCCAGTGTTCTCATACCCATCACTGCAGCTGTCCAGTGATGTTGCACTGACTCCAGCTAAAGTGGGAGAGCGTGCATGAGATAAGGTCTATTAGTATTGTGCACCAATTTCAGAAAATGACACTAAATACTTAAATGCATGTGGGAATGGCTCAGCCTACATGAACAACATAAGATGTCTGCAAATGCAAGACTTAAAAAAGCGTTTAAAAAAACTCTTTCCAACAAATGCAGAAAGCCTGTGAATTCCTGCGGAAAGATGCTAACTGAGCTAATTTAACACACTTCTGCTGGAGTCATGGAGGTATGACATGACTGCACACAAGCTCCTGGGCCAGAAAAGCCTTGGCGGTCCAGATCTGAAATCAACATGGCAGCTACAGGTGGCGCACGGCCCCGACTGACCTCTTGTTCGTCCATGTACTGGTTGTAGCGCTGTTCCATCATCTCCCTCTGCCAGCGCTCCTGCTCCAGTGTCTGCTGGATGAGCTGAGCCACTTCGCTCTGCTCGCCTGGCTTCTCTCGGCCAATCACAAACCTGTTATTAAATGATCACCAGTCAGGGCCCTTAGTGCACAGTGTGCAGGACTTCAGTGTTCTCCATAAATGATAAGCAGCTTCTTGAGATGGTGTAGTTAAAGGTATTAATGCAAGGCAATGAGAGGAAATAGCTTCCTGTTTGCTTTTGAACTAACATCCGCTCTTCACTTCTTTAAAACCAAATCCTGCCTCTCTTACAGCTCATCATGGATTTGATATGCTTCCTCATCGAAGCTTAAAAATCCCTTTCAAATTAAAGCTAGCCATGTAATTTTCACTGAATCATCGCTGATCAACAGATTTTCATTAAAAAGCCGTCTCCGTCTCTCGCTTTTCCTTTTACGGGTAATTAAATGCTCACAAACACACTTCCTGTTCCAGGCTATTTGTCTTCCTGGTGTTTATGAATAGTTCTGAGCTCTGCTGGCCTCCGTCGCCGCTGCAGCAGATCCATAATGTATGAGCTAAGAGGTCTCCGATCTTCATAACTCACCCAACACTAAAGAATGATCCCAATAGCTCTGGACACCAAAACTCTGAATTATGAATGAGCTCGGACAGCAAAAGGAGCTCACAGCAACTGCTGGAGCCACCAAAACTCCAGAGAGCAACATCTACAAATAGCCTGCTGGCTTTTTCGACTGATTCTTCTGTATCTGCTGCTGATAACAGGCTTTTCTGTGGCTTCTCCTCTTTGGGCCTTTTTCAGGAGCTCCTAAATGCAGAAGGTTATAATCATGACCCTGTGGGAGCTGCAGCATACGTAAATCTAAAGTCTGGTTAACTGAATGGGCAGGATGTGGTAGAAGGCAGACTGTGGGTGGATGTATATCAAAAGGAAGCCGTCGTTTTAAAGAAGAATGCTAGATGTCAAACCGCGCTGAGTAATGGCGGTTGTAAGAACGTAGAACATGGCCAAATGAAAAAAAACTGACTTGATGGTTGTCTTGATGTAGAACTGGGTCAAAGCAGGATGAATTTGTCTTAATCGACTCTTACTTGACAGTTCCTGAGGTGTTCCTGAGTACGGAGGCAGCGAAGCTCTGCGTGACTCCCACCAAACTCGTCCCGTCCACCTCCACAATAAGGTCGTTCACCTGGATCCTGGAGAAGCAGTCAACACAGATCATGCAGCTCAACCTACACACGCCAAAAGGCATTCGCAAGACTTTTATTTCTGCAGCAGAACCAACAGAGTCTGGGAGTTAAATAAGCCTCCTCAACTAAATCTCCTGCTTCAGGATAGGTTTCCCAGAGCTTCACTGGGACGTTTCAGCACAGATCAAAGGTCAAGCACTGAAACATGAACTCACCGCCCATCTCTGTGAGCTGCCCCTCCTTCTGTAACGGTCTTAACAAAGATGCCCAGCTTCTCCAGGCCCATGTCGGCCCCTGCACCCATCCCAATGATGCTGATGCCCAGACCGTCGCTATCTGAAACCAAAGAGGGAGACCAGGCCAGCAGTTATTTTGGTCATGCAATGAACATGTCATCCCTGGGAGGAAACCATGAAACCATATTTGGACTTTATCTGCGTAAGAAAACTGGTTTATCAGTTATGAACTAGTAAACAATATTTTCCCCCTTTAAAGTACATAATACTTAAAAGAAAACCAACTGCAGGGAAGTTTTAACTGTTGTGAAAAAGCTAGAAAAATAAATTCTAAAAATGTACAATTTTATTTTTTGCTGTGCTTTTCATGAGAAAAAAGGTGTTGTGTTGTGTCATACATTATTAACTCATTAACTGCCATTGACGACTAAAGTCGTCACTTGCATTTTTGTACTGGGCGGGCGTTGGAACGAGCCCCCGCACCGCGAGAACAAACATCACTTCTCTAAAGCTGATCTTCATCTGCATACGTCTCACGCCACGTGAAGCAGAAAATCCATGTTAGGAGATCGTTTTGGGCCGCTGCTGTAAAAAAAGTGAGGCGCGAACCGGAAAAGCTTCTGCCGATCACAATTCGACAAAAGAGAATGAAAGAACGAATAATGCTAAAAACACGAGGATTATTCCTGATGTTAGAAGTGAGTCTACTCTTTGTTTTGGTAGTTTTGGCGCTGACATCATGGTAGAGCACCACGTTCTGTGACTCTTCAAAAAACAGTAAAAACACTCAAAAACGCTGGCAGCGTGAGGCTTTTCTGATCAGGAAATGGCCAGCAGTTTACTCTGGTGTTCACGAGTGTGTGTGTGCGTGTGTGTGTGTGTGTGCATGGACGAGTGTGCGGGTGATTGTATGTCCACTTTTGGAAGTTGGGTGCGGGAGGGAACTGTAATTTTTAATTGTTTTATACTTGGGGAGGGGGCCTGGGATGGGAATGTGGGATCTATGGGGCCATTTTAATCTGTAAAGCACTTTGAGTTGCATTTTTTTGTATGAAAAGTGCTATATAAATAAAGTTGATTTGATTGATTTAATGAGTTAAAGGTGCATTATGTAAGAATATAGTGAGAATTTTACTGTGAGAAAACCCCATAAGAGTCTAATGTTTCAGTCATTTTGCGAGGCTTGTCAGTTTTTCTCTTTTCAGAACAATGGAAGGAGGGACGTAACTACTGTTTACCATCAGTGTGTGGGGCTGCCATGTCTCCTGCGAGCTAATGCTGCAGCTTGTAATTTGAAGGCAGCCGGCAAAAAGCTCCAGAGTTGTTTAAGTGGTTGCAGTAACCAAATGTTTCCACAGGATGTCATTTTTTACTTCATTTCTACATAATGCACCTTTAACTTTGGAGTTACAGTTTTTCCCATTAAGACAAAATATTAATGTTTAGAATACATATTTTGATCAAATATAGATACATACAATTAAACCTACATTTTTATAATGAAATCTAAACATAAAACTAAATTCTAACATTTAAAATTAAATAAAATATACACACATTGAAATCTAAATAACCTGGAATCCAATCTAAATAGTTTAAACCAAACCCAAATATTTAGGAGGTACAATTTTTAATGGAAATCTTTAGGATTAAATCTAAAAATATGAAATTAAACTTTAAATCTAAATATTTTGGATTAAACCTGAATATTTAGATTCAATATAACATCAGCTATAAATTGACTTCCAACACATATTTAGCTAACATGCAAATTGCCATTTTATTTACAGAACACTGTAAAACTGCCAAGGCTCATCCAAAGCACTGAATGGCTTATTGACAGTAAAATCCAGGTTAAAGGAGAGCAGCCTAGCAAATGAGCCCCATTGATGGTGGAACTGTTGGACTCAGTCAACATGCAGCACCAACACAGATGTGCAAGGACCTTTCAGGTCATGGAGTGAATAAGGAAACAAAATAAACAGTTAAAGTTTTATTTAATTAAATAAAGTCTATAAGAATCTGTATTTCAGGCTTCATTTGTGTTGACATGGTACAATAGAAAAGGTCATTGTGCTATTTTAAGACATATTACTATTTTTCATTTCTAGAACAAACATTGATCATTTGTATATTGGAACTTGTTAAAAAAATCAAATACAAATTATTTAAGGAGAAGTTGTATCAAAATTGCAGAAAATTCAACTAATATATAATAATAATAATAATTAAGACAATAAACAATCAAAGGTTATGTAAGGACCAGGTGTAAGCTTGTAGTAAATAATATTTGTATATTGGAGGCGTGCTTTTGTCTGTGCTGCTCCAACACTCTGGAATGCTCTTCCTCTTTCAGTGATGCTGGCACCATCCCTCCTCCGTTTCAAGTCACTACTTAAGGCTCACTTTTACGACCAGGCATTTTTAAATCCCTGAATTTTATTTTACTATGTGTTTTTTATTGACCGTAATTATCTGCTTTGTTGTGCATTCTATTGTTGACCGTGTTTTGTTTTGATGTTGTGTTTTTACTTTTTATTCTGTACAGCACTTTGGTCGGCTGCCATGCCGTTTTTAAATGTGCTTTATAAATAAAGTTGGTATGGGCAAAAGCAGATTAACCTTCATTTGGTATTGAGATGGTATGGTTTGTAGAGTTAAATCAGCAATAACACACATTTCATGCCTGAGGAGCGAAGTGCTGAACTAGTTTTCATTATAATGTTTAACTTTCATTTTCCCAGAGCAGCCGGTGCACACAACAGCCCAGTGATGCACAATAGCATCTGGGTGCATGTATTATGTATATGTCTATGTATGTAGCAGACGCTTTTGTCCAAAGCGACTTACAAGTGATAATCGGCATGTTGCCCTTGAGGCTAACAACAACAATAACAACAACTTCACATCAATCATGGAGAGGAGGGAACGAGGAGTGGACAGTAGAGAGGGGGACGGGTGCAGGGAGGGTGCTAGTTAAGAAGATGCTCTCTGAAGAGCAGGGTCTTCAGGAGTTTCTTGAAAATTGAAAAGGAAGCCCCTGTTCTGGTAGTGCTTGGAAGGTCATTCCACATTTGTGGAACGATGCATGAGAAGAGTCTGGATTGTCCTGAGCGTGGTGTAGGCACTGCTAGCCGACGATCCTGTGATGACCGGAGCGGCCGGGCCGAGACGTAAGCCTTTGCAAGAGGATTCAGGTAGATGGGAGCCGTACCATCTCAGACTTTGTATGCTAGTGTTAGCAATTTGAATTTGATGCGTGCTGCTAGCGGTAGCAAGTGGAGCTCAATGAGCAGAGGGGTGACGTGTGCTCTAATACGTGTGTATTACTGCTCTGTATGCCGGGGAAGGCTTTCACTGTGGCTCTAGAGGGAACAATTGAAAAAGGCCTGCACCATTTCACCTCTGCTGCCTGATGAGAAGCTGGATGGCTGGTAGAAAGCATCAGGCCTTTTTACAAAAGCAACGTAACCCTTAACAGTTAGACTGTTTCTGTTTATACCACAAACCAGCCAAGCTGTACATCAGAACATAAATCCACAGCTTGCAGAGAAAAAGTAAAAACAAAAACCTTTCTCCAGCTCTACAGGGAACAGGTCCAGCCTCTCCACCCTCTTCTCCAGCTCGTATTCTGCTGATGCTGCCATGGGATCCACGTCTTCATTACGCCTGTCGTAGTCCTCGTTGGGATAGGTGGCAAACACCTGGAAGGGGAGACAACGACCGCATCAGGGTGGCATCTGCACATCAGTCAGTCAGTGAATCAAAGGCATTTCAAATGAATATTATTTAGCATTTTGTGAATTTTTGTGTTGGTGAAACTTTTGGGTTTGCATTCATAGAAGCATAGGATCTCTGTGATAGCAGCAACAACATGCCTCCAAAACCATGTGTAATCACACTTATGTGGGGTTTAATCATACCTGGAACAAAAGAGGCTAAATGTGCAAAATATACATTGTTTTCATCACCTTTGCAATGACTATTTATAAAGATGCACGAGTCTCTCTTTTCCAGATGTGCAGAGTTATCACATTGTCACATTTCCTCCAAATATAGTAACTGTTAATGAAGCAGATCGACTTCCTGTGCTCTCTGATCAGCATCCAAGTCTCTTTGGATTCCAGTTTCTTTATTTAAATCACATCCGTGTGTGTGGATGAAGAGGTAAAAATGTTTTTTTCTGCAAAACTGGAGCAAATGGGTTAGGTTATGTCATTAAGTTACAAGGAAAACTTGATTGCTTCAGAGATTTTCTATTCAAACCACTTTTTAAATTTCATAATCTAATATATGTCAAACCTTCTCTGATTTTATCTTCTATGATGTAAACGTTATGAAAAGTCTTCATTTAAATCCAGCATTCCTCTCTAATTCCCTAAGGATTCCCAAGGCTGCGGAGATGAATGCAGCTGAGGAACTTAACCAAATTCACAGGCTGATAATGAGTGACTACCGCTGTCGGTGTGGACATAATGCAATTCAATTTTATTGACTGTTGTGACTGAGAGATCTGCAGCATCTCCTCGTGGCCCCTGAGTGGGATCCTTTCACAGGTGTAATACAAATCATGGGTGTGTGTGTGAGAGATCAGTCAGTACCACATGAATCCCTCTCATGGAGACAGAGGCCTCTGTTTTCAAGGCTCAACTTCCCACATTCACTCTGGTCTAACAGCATGACAGTTTACATAACCACCTCCAGAATGCTAATGGACACGTTCTGCAGCTGCTACACACACACACACACACAGAGAGAGAGAGAGAGAGAGTTGAGTCTTTAAAAGCCTTACTTTCAGTCTTGCAGGGTGATTACGTATGCAGCACCTTACACACTCCACCAGCTACGATAACAGGACCTTCTCCTCTCGCTCCCACAGCTTTCGACAAGCTTTGTTCTCACAAGAAAACATTTTCACATTTTTTAAATGTGTTTGTTTCATTTCTCCAACTTGCCACTCAGTAAAAACAAGTGTTAAAAAATTGGCCATTTTGGAAGTTTTTGCTGCTCTTTAATTGTACAGCGTGGGCCCCCTGTTGCCCTGGAAACCGCACAGAATAGAGCCCGTCATGTTGGAGAGATCCTCTGAAATAAAACCAGCCCCTACTCTTATCAATCTACATCACTGAAGTTTGAAAAGTGTTGCTTGTAACTTTAAGCCTTCCTTATCTATGAAAAAAAGGTGTGGGACACTGAAAACCCATTTTATATGATTATTTCTGATTATAATGGTCACTCTGACATTTTTATGCAGGCTGAACATGCAAATGGTCTCCTACTGCTACTCCTGCATGAACTTCTGATAGAAAATAGATGGTGAAACTCTAGGATTTGAATATCCTCACAGATCTACGTCACACAGTCACTTATAAGGTTTTCACATCTGGTATCGCTCAGCCCGGCCCGGTCCGCATTGCATATCATTGCATATATTGTTTTCATACCTGGGTGGTCTGGTACTTTTCCCTATCCTACCAGGCTGATTGTCTGCCCTTATCTTCTGGTGGTCCACTCAGGGCTGGTCTGGGCCAACATGATTAGTCAGCTCAAATACACGCCTACCGTTAGGGGGAGCCTCTGATTGGTGGATAGAATCAACCAGTGGGGGCTTCTTGCATGTGTGATTCATTATCATTCTGGATGCTGAGATGTAAACGTCACCCCTGACTGAAGCTGCAGGAGCTGTCTCTTTCTCACTGCTGTGAGGAGCACACACACACACACACACACACACACACACACACGCTCACGGCCACCTTTGTTTAAGGGGAGACACCACAGACTTCTTTGCGTGTCTTTTGCCCTGCGGAGATTTTCCTTGTTCCTGAGAAGTGTGTGATCAGAACCTACCGGTGTGGGAGCAGGGCCGACGCCTCCCAGCCTGGTCCGTGCTGGCCCAGATGGGAAACTACCAATAACATTCATGGACTCGCCCATCTTGACTCACAAATATTCAAATATCAGGAAATAAGTCCAAAATCTGTCATCCGAAACAGCTGTTATCATTGTGTGTTCCTAGAAATGGTGCACAGGTATATTTTTTTCCTTTGAGAACGACTGACAAGCAAGGCATTCCTTCCTAGAGACCACTGCAAATGTGTGTATTAAACGAGTGAACCACATCTTTAACTAATTTGAATCAATCAATCTAATCTGTCGCTGTCGTTGTGTCCTTGGGCAAGACACGCTGCCTGCTGGTGGTGGTCGGAGGGACCGGTGGCGCCAGTGCTGGGCAGCCTCGCCTCTGTCAGTGTGCCCCAGGGCAGCTGTGGCTACATTGTAGCTCATCACCATCAGTGTATGAATGTGTGTGTGAATGGGTGAATGACTGATTGTGTTGTAAAGCACCTTGAGGGGTTCCATGACTCTAGAAGGTGCTATATCAAATACAGGCCATTTACCATGTACTATTTAATTTAAAACATATTACATCTATTCCAGGAACTGTGTTATTTTCATGACATCCATTTACACTGAAGTGATGAAGAATGTTGGACAATGGTTCATTTTCTGTGTGAACCATGTTGGAAACATACAAAGTCTGCGTAGCAATCTGAGGTTAATATGGTTAATATGGTGCCGTGGTGCCAAAATCAAAACGAATGACAGCTCTAGTTTCTCTTCTCTCTAAAACTGGACTGATCTTAATTCTTGTCCCTCAACATCACAACATCTCCTAACAGTTGTCTTTTCTCAAAGATAAAGGTGCACTTTTATTTTCTTATAGAAATCATATAACGTCACTAAACACACACACACACACATCATCGAGGATAAAGCTACTTATACAGTTAATTTGCTGTAGCAAATTATGTCTATAATGACCTCTAAAAAGCATTTACTAGATTTTTAGTTTGATGTTTAAGTTGCTTTAAATGCTGAATTCACTCTATTGTGAACTATTCCCTCTAAAGCTATTAGCTTGACTCATTGAGAATTACTCTTCACTCCACACACTGACAGGGAATTTACCATCACTGAGCAGTGCAAGTGCAAATTGCATGTTTATTACTCCTGCAATCCTTATTGCTTTATATGCCTCATAGGCTTGTGCAAACATGTCAATGATGTGCAGCTGGTTTGAGCAATAACATCTGTTTGCACTGAACAAACTGGAGAAGTTACAAGAAGAAAAACATGTTTCTTCTGAGTGAGCTGCAGGTCTAAATGGAAAGTCACTTTCAAAATCAAAAATAAAGCTTGCTGATCAATTTCCAGCTTTAATATCCAAAAAGCACTTTAGACCCTTAGAATCTTCATCTGAGCCACTCACCCTTCCTCCTCCTTGGGTGGATTCACATTAATTGACCTTTCATTACTATTTTTTAAAACTAAAATAAGAAATATGCCTGATTTTTAGTTCAGATCAATTATCTGTGCGCTCATCTAAAATCAGTAATGCTCTCTAGCGCCCAATGGGGCATCTACATACTCAAGTCTATGGTTTCCCACGTGATTTAAGTCATTTAGCTAACCTGTCTTTCGGTTATAGCTCTACATTTCATCGTCTAACATCTTATAAACAGGAAGCTACGAGTTAGCTACTGTCAGTGCTTCCATTCATTTTGTTAATCATTTGTTAGCTACAACTTTAAATTTTGTATTTAATCAACAGGAAGCTAACCAAGCTAGCTTTTTTCCACTCCTTACATTCAAGTCAGTCACCGCTGGGCTAAAATTGTACATTTAATGTTTCATCGCCAAAAGGCTTTTCAGGCTGTTTCCTACTGTTTTCAGGCACATTGCTGAGCTAAGTAAGCCACTTCTTGCCTGCAGCACCATATTTTCTATGTAGATTTAACAAAAAGATGTGATCTCTTTATCCACAAGCAGCCACAATCTTGTTATCAGTAATTGCAATTTCATTATGAGGCTGAAAGTGGCTGCTCACCTGTTGAGAAAAAAACAACAAAGTGATTTCAAGGACATTTTATAACAAATTAGCCCAAAGTGCAGCTGACAAAAGTGATTGCTCATTAACTGTAGCAGCATTTAAATGTCTGAAAGGCTCACTGGTAGTTCAGTAAAACATAGGATGAATCTCTAAATGACAGCATGGGAGCAGCACGTAAGTCTAATGGCTTTTGATTTAGGTTACCTTTGTATTTAGACAGATTAGCACAATGTGGATTAAAGACACACACAAAACAAACTGTTACCATAATGAGTGCACAAAGCAACAACAGCACACTCCAAGTCCACATGCTCACGTGGCATTGCTTCACTTCTTGATTTTAAAGATCAAGAGGCCACAGCTGGTTGGCTGATGTTGCCCTGGTTTCACGGTCACCATACTGCAGAATCCCAGGCTCTGGATGTAACGAAGCACTGGAAATGGGCAGCTAGCATGACATGACCTGATGCATTGGTAAAATTCTGAACTGGAGTCATTGTGTGAGCAAACAAAGAGCCTTCGTCGTCGTCGTCGTCTTCCTCCGCTTATCCGGGTCCGGGTCGCGGGGGCAGCATCCCAACTAGGGAGCTCCAGGCCGTCCTCTCCCCGGCCTTGTCCACCAGCTCCTCCGGCAGGACCCCAAGGCGTTCCCGGACCAGATTGGAGATGTAACTTCTCCAACGTGTCCTGGGTCGACCCGGGGGCCTTCTGCCGGCAGGACATGCCCGAAACACCTCCCCGGGGAGGCGTCCAGGAGGCATCCTGACCAGATGCCCAAACCACCTCAACTGGCTCCTTTCGATCCGGAGG